CTGGCCTGTGCATTAAGCCAGTAACCAATGAATGATGGCATTAGATGATGCTAAAGTAATCTAAAAATGTTTTAAAGTAATATGATAAAAATTCTAATATAGAAATATACAAAATTTGAATTCTAATATAATGTAATATAATACTTTATTAAATTAATTAAAATATTAAATTAAGTTAAATATTTAAAATATATGAATTAATATTATATTCAATAAATTCTGGCCTGTACATTAAACTATTAACCAATAAATGATGGCAGTAGATGGTGCTAAAGTAATCTAAAAATGTTCTAATATAATATAATAAAAATTCGAATGAATAAATATATAAAATTCCAATATATAATATAATATTATATCATTATTGAATATCCAAAATTGACCATTTCAAATAAATAAAACTAATATCGGCCGATAACAGATATCGTACCGATATATCATACATCTCTAATGATATTGTGATACATTGTGATGTATTCATTCATAAAATGTGAAGTGTATTGTACTGTGATGTAGTTGGTAAGCACTCCATCATTATGCCTTAAGCATTTTGTGCCATTTGATTTCATTTAAACAGGTCTTTGTTGTTGTTTGCAGTTCCACACTGGTTTTACTGGCAAGTGGCTCTCATTGAGCTCTTTAACACTCATCAGTCTTTTCTCTCTAGTGTCAGTGGGTTTAACATGACCTCTTAGTAGTCCTCAGGTATAGATGTTTGTGGTGTATGTGTAAACAGCACTTACAGTAGTGTAGCAGAGGACAGGTGTTCAAATGCGACACCCTCAGTCTAATCCTCCAGTAATCCCGACTGGAGCCATGTGTTCGCTTTCTTGCTGCCGACACTCTAAAGTACAGCCAGTGGACGCCATCCAACTGAAGAGAAGGAGCTGAAGCAGAGCTCGCAGTCGCCCTTCCTTCATAAAGAAAAACACTGGTCGTCCAATGAAATTGTCTCAATTCAGTGAAACGTTTCTCCTTTCATGTCAGACGCATCGGGTTTAACTGAGAACTGGAATTAGAGTGCGTGACTCCGCAGTTCCCTCACAAACACTGTGGTCTTGTGAATTTTTAGTAACAAGACTGTAAATTCAAGAGCGCTCGCTGGGGAAGGGAGGGAACGCTGAACAAGGCCGGAAGTGATTCCTCAAACACCATTTTTGAGTTTATTCAGCTAGTTGTTTTTGTTCAGTTACAGAAATACACAAAAAAGTTTTTTTTTTAAACACAAAAAAGGTTCAATATTTATTTTAATAAAAGTGTATTCCAAATTAGTGCTGTTAAAATTAGCACGTTGACGCAGGCGTAGGGCTGCACGATAAATCGAAATTGCTGATTACAGAACCGGCATTACTATCAAAATGCGTATGACAATTGCATTCGATTAATCGTGCAGCCCTACGCAGGTGATACATTTTTCCAGTTTTATGACTTTAAAAATATTTCATGCAGTTAACGCAGGGGCGGAGCTACAGTTGGCCACCCCACTCACAACTGCAGCTTCTGTCTGTTTTCCTGTCAATTGTGTTTATTTAGACACAGAACGCCTTTATGGGCACATCAAACAGGAGACTTTTCAGATGCACGCTCCACTTCGCCTCAGCGACAGGCGCGAGTCAAACGAGCACGGAAACAGTACAGGTGACGAGGAGCTTCAGTAGAACAACAGTGAACTGCGGTCAGATGAGATGTTTGTCGGGCCATACGTCAGTAAAAATGAATTTTCCTGTCCTGTCAGATGTTATACTGTGCTCGTAGCACGTGCTCTAAAGTTGCATGCACAAATACAGTTGCTTGTGCTTATTTCATATTAAAGTGCAAATGAAACTACGAGCATGCATGTCAGATCCACGTTGTGCTCAGCAGCAACTCTTAAAGTAACAGCAGCCAAATAACCTAATAACCCAGCAGCTGTGATGTCTGTTAATCAAAGATCAAAAGAAAACAGAGGAAATCAATAACTTTTTTTAGCTTTAAGGAATCACCTATATTTAATTTAGAACTTAGTGTTTGATAACTTTATTCATTTTCTGTTTATTTCCTACTTGCTGAAGGGCACAGGTAAATATGGCATGACATTATAATAGGTTTATGTGAAAATTGTTTTAAGTTCACTTAAATTAGAAGTTGTTACTTTTTAAAGTCTAATAAATGTTAAAATGTATAGCTCTCAATTATACTATAATGTTAGTATAGTCAACATTACATATTGTCAATAGTTAAATATTAGGGGAAAAAAGAACAATTTCCTAAAGACATCAGTAGTGTTGGTATCAGTGATACTCACCTTCAGTCATAAAAAAAGATGGCATTAAACAAATATTAAAAATATACTGTCTTTGTCGTTTCTACATTTAATTTGAAGATTGAATGTGAAATTATTGCAATATAAAAGTATATTTAAAAACTTTAATGTTAGTTGGGATTAATCGTGCTTAATCGTGATCAATTTAAAAAATGTGATTATTTTTTATCGATTCACAGCACTATTACAAATACATTTGTATTTAATTATTTTTTTTAATTTTAATTGAATTTGTTTTAATTTTGTGCAATGTGTTTTGGAGGAATCTTAAACCTATTGAGACTCTTAAAAATAAAGGTCCTTTATTGGCATCAATGGTTCCTAAAAGAGCCTTTTTTTTTTTTTTTTTTTGAAGTGTGAAGAACTTTTTAATAATCTAAAGAACCCTTTTCCCAATATAAAGAACCTTTTGTGCTTTGAAAGGTTTCATGGATGTTAAAGGTTCTCCATAGATTCAATGTTCTTATTGTTCATTATAGAGAACATTATATATAAGAACATTATAGAGACAATGTTCTTGTTATTCCCTCTGTTATTTTGCACATTTCTCTGATATTTTGCACATTCCTACCTCCGGATGTCATTTGCACTGTTATGGTCATTGGCCATATATAAACATATGCTATTTACGCACCTCACTGTATAATGCACCTTCTGTTTATACTTCCTTTGCACACTATGTTGTATGTACTGTCATTTGCATTGAGCTGGTCTCTGCCCTTCTACCTCATAACTTGCACTATATGTCATAAAGCTTCATGTATATACACATATTCTAATGTAATAATATTCGCACTTCTGGTTAGATGCTAACTGCAATTTCATTGGCTCTGTACTTGTACTCTGCACAGTGACAATAAAGTTGAATCTAATCTAATTCCAAAACCTTTATATTTAAACGTTTAAAGTAGAAAAAGGTTATTTAAATTATTCAAATGTTTTTTTTTTTAATTGGTTCTTTTAACAGCTGTTCACTGAAAGGTTGTTTGAGGAACCAAAATGGTTCTTCTGTTGCATCACTGTGAAAACACCCTTTTGAAATATTTATTTATTTATTTTTTTTAGAATGTAGAAGCAAGTAAAGATTTCTTTCATTTTTTTTTGACATTTTTCATTCACATTTATGCATTTGGCTGGCACTTTTATCCAAAGCAACTTGCATTTGCATTATCAGTTCATGCGCTCCCTGGGAATTGAATGCATGACCTTGGCATTGCAAACGCCAGCTGCTTTATCAATTACAGGCCTCTTCTGCTGCTTGGCTTTGGTGAACAAGCAGTGAGTCACAATAGGAACAAATGTTTATGCTTCTTCAGTCGTCTCTCACTAACAACCAGCCACATCTTGCCTTTCCGTTTTCTATTTTTCTTTCACTTTGTACAGATTTTATATTTTGTTGTGGTACAGAATACAGTGTTTACATCTGAAGACAATATGAAATCAAAACCAAACTTAGTTTTTAATACACTTTCTTGGTCTAAATGTTGCTATTAAATGTTTGTTTTTTGAAAGGAATAAGCAATGCAACATGCAATGTTTGCTATTAATATTAAATTACACTGAATAAAATTTGGTGTAGAATTAGCTTTGAAACGGTTTTCTAGTAATTGTGTTAAATCATTACGAAGAAGCGTCAAGTAACAAATTGAATTCGAGAGGAAATGTAAAAAGACTGAAATAGCTCTCCAATAATCAGTATTATTTACAACTTTTTCCAGTGTGCTCCTTATTTGCATGAAATCGAAAAGCCAAATTTGGATTTAGTGTACAGACATTAATTTGCATTGACGTTCTCAAACTTGAGTTGAATTCAGCCGTTATCATTAAATAGTCTGATTCTGCTGCATGATTGTTCTATAATAAAGCAGTTGTTTGGTCAGTATGTCTGCCAAACCCATTTATCTCGAACACATTCAAGAGCTTAAGGATGCATGTCAACAGAGAAATGGACTAATTACTTTGCAGTAGTTTAAAGTTAATTTTAAATGAAATTGGCACATGTATCTCTGGCTTTAATTCTTTTTCACCCACCACAAAGCTTTAATTCAATTCAACAAAAACCCATAATTAGATTATCAAATGGGCTAATGCGTGGAGTGCTGAGTTTGCAGGAGTGTTTGTGAAACCGAATGGTCGAGGAGGAACAGCTGTGGCAGCTTATGATGAGCCTTAAGCATTAAGCATCGTTGGCCATAAGTAATAATCACAGAGTGCTAATGGTTCTTGGCACTAAAGTTAAATAATCCCAGGCTCTGTTCTGTGTTCACATACTTCACCCTCGCCAGTCTGATAATTGCTGTAATTGAACGTAGAGGTTTGACATTGAGCCTAATGTCAGCTTATGCTTTCATAGCTGTCTGTTTACAGTCACTGTAATTGCATTACTTATCCTCGCTTTATTCCTTTTACCTTACTTGAAATGAATGTTAATTATAATGAGCTTTAATAATGAAAAACTCATTCACATCTAACCGTGCATTAAAGTTTTTCTTTCATAAGCCTTCGAACTTGTTTATTCTGGTATTACTTTATAAATAACTTAAATCAAATGTAGGTAATGCAGATCAGTAGTCTTATCATTTTAAATCATCCTACAGGTGCGATCCCTCTTGCACTTTTAACATACAGTGTTTCGATGTGGTCCAGTTATGATTTTATCGTCACTCGCTAACTGAATCCTTTCTGAAATCTCCCGCAGATGGAGTCTCCGGTCTCCACGCCGGCACCGCCACCGCTCCACCTCCTCGCTCCTGTCGGCAACAGCGACATCTCCTCCTCGTGTGAGCAGATCATGGTCCGCACGCGCTCCGTGGCCGTCAACACCTCTGACGTGGCTCTGGCCACCGAGCCCGAGTGTCTGGGGCCCTGCGAACCTGGCACCAGCGTCAACCTGGAGGGCATCGTCTGGCAGGAGACTGAGGACGGTAAGGACTGGAGCCAGATGGATGCTACATGCTGTCGGTTAAACATTTAATCACTGTTATATTTAATGTTAAACTCATGTCCGTTGAAATGAAGACTAGGGCTGCTTGATTTGGGGGAAAATCAAATTGCAATTTTTCTGCAGTTCGTGATTTACAGTGCTTCGGGTTTGTTACGCTTCTTTATAGGGATGCACTCTTTGGCAACAAAAACTATTTTGATTATAGAAATCTGCAGGGAGCCCTCAGAGTTTCTCTCTTGTTACTAACAGCTAGTTTATAAGTGCTTCTCATTACAATTTTGAAAAGACAGTTGGGGCATGTTGCATTTTCAAATACACATTATAAGTGTCCCAAATTCAGAACAGATGCAGAGATGCGAAACTGAGCCACTCTTGAGATGCTGAAAACACTGGATCATGAGCTGCTCAAATGTAAATGAGCACAGAGCAGCGCTTATTATCATTAACTAAAACTAAAACCCATGAAAAAAAAACATTTTCATTATTTAAAATAACCGTTAAGTAAAATTTAATATAAAAAATCTAAGATTTTTTATAGAAGATATAAAAAAATATTTTATTTCAGCTAGTTGCCAAAAAAACTGATAAAAAAAAAAAAATTTGAATTCTTAATTTGAATAATTTTAATTTTAAATTAAAATGAAAAAAAAGCGTTTTAAACATTTTAGTATCATTGAGATTATTATAGATTATTTATAATTGCATTATAATTTGTATTAATAATTTGATTTTTTTTTAATTTAGAAGTTTTAGCAATTTTGTTGTTTTTGTCAGTTTTATTAGTTTTTTTTTTTTTGTCTATATAGTTTTAATTCATTTTTATTTCAGTTTTAGTATGTCAAGGTAAACTAAATAATAATGACAAAAGTTTTTTTTAATTTTTTTTATTTAATGTCAGTTAACATTAGTCAAGTAACATTTTTTTAATGGTTTTAGGTAGGGCTGTGCAAAAAATCGAATGTGATTTTCATGCGCATCTCGTCAGTAAAGCTAATTAGTCTGTGATTAGTAGTAAATTTCCAGCACGTGCTTGCAGATGGAGCGGCATTTACATTTACATTTACATTTACATTTAGTCATTTAGCAGACGCTTTTATCCAAAGCGACTTACAATTGTTGGAGTGGCAGGGAAGACAAGAAGCTCAGTCTTTGCCAGGTTGAGCTGTAGGTGATATTTACTACACAGAGCCGTAGTTCACTGACATGCTACACAAAATCGCGTTCAAAATCGGCAAAGAATCGCCTGCGATTTTGAATGCGATTTTGTGTAGCTTGTCAGTGAAAGCACCACCTGAAAGCACGTGCTGGAGATTTACTACAAATCACCAGAAGCAGCTTTACTGACGAGATTCGCATGAAAATCGCATTCGATTTTTTGCCCAGCCCTAGTTTTAGGTTTAGTTAACAATAATAACCCTGAATATAAAAATCAAAACAAAATATTAACACAGACTAGTATATCTATAATACTAAAATAACACACAATCGCGCTAAGCCATATCGTGGTTTTATTTTGATTACACGAAATCCTTAAATTTTGCTTTTTTCAGCCACACTAAAAGAATTAGATCACATCCTTTCACTGAAGCTCCGCCCTCTAACAATGCTAGTTTTCTGATTGGCTGACACTCGGATTCTGTGATTTTTCATGATGCTTATTTCTGTCAGCTAGCAAGGATGTTTAATATGTGGTTTCCCAAAAAATGCTTGCAGGATATTGTGCATATATACATATAAACAATTAAGCCTGTTTTGTGCTTGTTGCCCATCTAGTGAAGTGCAGACTAGGGAGAACACACTTATATTTGCTTGTTTAGCTTCCTGGACACTAATTCCAGCTTGGCTTTGAGCTGGAGCAGGTGATTGACAGAAAAGCTGCTGCTTGCCTCATTACGCAATGCTTTTTCTCCAATAAAACTGATGTTTTTCATCCAGGACCGGTACCAAACTGTTTAGATCTGCATGTCAGGACTGCATTGCTGTAGCCATTAGCCATTTGTGTGTGTTTGTGCTATAAACAAACAAAATCCAGACATCGCAGTTTGTTTTCTCCACCTGATAAAGCTTAACCTCTCGGTTTTTCTTCCTAAGTCCTCTGAAGTTTGTGTTATTAGCTGTCTGTCAGACACTCCCTTCGGGCGAGTTCTATTTTTTTTGTATAGACTAGCGGGCATTTATAGGCAAATTAACCTGACAATAGAGGTTCCGTTTTAGCAGGCTAATGGTACTGTATGTTGTAACACGAGCAAGTCTTGCTCAGCTATTTGGCTGATGTCTGTTATTTGAACACCCAGCCATGTTTCCTCTTTGTTGCAATAACGCATAATCGCTGCAACTGACAATTTCAGGCAAGGTCAAAAGGCGCCACGCAGCTCGTACTTTCACCTTCGCCCACTCGTTCCATTAGCTCCGCTAACGCACAGAAATTGTGCTAGTTCACACCACATCAAATGCTTCCTGTCTTCCCCCGGTCTCTTCATATCTCCATCCGTCTCGCTTTACCTCCAGTCCTGATGATTCAGTGCTGAGGTCTCATGGCACAGCGGTCTCCATTTGACAAATGCAAAGAAAACAAGCCAGAGAAAAGTCTGAAAGCACCTCCAGAGAGGGTCACGGGAATGAGCAATAACAGCCAGACCAGCATGCCTTGCAGTTGGAGGCTGACGAGCTGTTAGAGACGTCTCTATTTGGATGCCCGGAGGCTCTGAGCTCTTTGGAGAGTTGTGTAATGGATGGACTTCTGGGTTATTGGTCCATCTGATGTACTGTGGCTTACATAAAACTAGTGTGGTGTTTATGAAGTTCATACAAGGCAGGGTTATTATAGTTTTGAATTTTACATTAAGTTTTTATGTGCACTTTAATTTCAAAATTTGTACTTTTGAGTTGGTTTAGTTTTCACACAAATACCATTTTAGTTGACAGTGCATTGTCTTATTTTTTAGTGAATCATTCCACCAGCCAGGAATGGTGAACGAGAATGTTCTGGAAAGTGATCCAAAACGTTGCATTCTGTTTAACTAAAGTCATGCTCATTTGCACCTAAAGTTTAAACAACCTCTTTGCGTTGTAATTTGACTACCAAATACTGACTTTTGGGGCGGCAGTATTTAAAGGGAACCGTGCGGATCAAAGATCGCTCTCCTCCTGGGCTGTCAGCATGAGGAGATGGAAGTGCCCCTGACCTGGCAACCCAGACCCTCCTCCATCAGCCTGTGACAGCTCATCAAAACCAGAGCGAGTAACGGGAGGTTCACAGAGAAGAGACAGTAGATTGGATGAGGGAGCAAGAAGCTCAGAGAAAGTTACATTTTGCAAGAGCCACACAGCAACATGCGTTTCTGCGCCAGGAGTCTTGTCTCTTGTTAACCCCACCTGCTGACACTCTCAAATGTCAGCCTCAAATCTTCCAGTGCTTTATGGCTCCTGGAGTTCCTTGCCAGAAAAACATCCCTGTGGTGGGCTGGCATGACACTAGCTTGGCTTTGGCAAAACTACTGGAGCGTTTGCCAGGCCAGAGTTGTTTCGATTCTTGAGTGCGGGTGGCAAACCTCTACACACGCATACCAGGTCCTTTCTGTCCTTTGTGCCAATATCTCCAAGCAAGTTTTCTCTTATTATTGGGAGTCGGCCATAACCAGTTCTGTGTTCACCATCATCAAAGAATGATGTTCTGGTGTTCAAATAAGTCTTAACCACAAACCCTTTGTCTTTCCCGGAAATAAAAGGGATTGTTAAGCAGGTCTTGAAGCAGGAAAATGGCGAAGAAGATAAGACAAATTTTGTTCTGGAGAACTGCCAGATCTTTCCAAACAATTAGAGGTTGTTTACTTTGCTGCGAGGAGGTCCTTGGAGCTGTCTGAAAGCTGTTTCTCTTGGTGGCACATTTCCACCTCTCCAACCGGCGTGTCTGTCATAAACATGGTGGCGTTGTCCAAATCCAGAGCAGAAGTCTAGTGCCATGGCTATTGTCCCCTTTTCCGAAGGAATGTAATGAAGACAGCCACTTGACATGTGGATGTCGTCTCAGACAAGCCGGTCTGGAAAATGCACAAAGGGCCCTGTTGGGCTGTCATGTTTGCCCTGGAGAGAGTGGTATTCATTCCTTTTCTTAGTCTCTCTTGTCTCTTTCTTTTCTCTGTCAGTCAGACGGACCTCGCCAAGCCAAGCGCATACAGAATGCCAGATCTAGCCTGTCTTTTTCTCTCTCAGCTTGTGGTCAAGCCTCAACTCTGCCTCGCTCTGCTTTTGTTCCACCCTTCCCTTTTCGTCTCTTCCTTTTTTCCTCAGATCTTCCATCAAAGTCTTTCTCCTCCTCGTCTTACAGCTCTTACATTTCGCAGTGGGGATCCAGCTAGCTTTCTCGATTCCTGTCAGCGCTCGGCAGGCTGTCAATATTGGACAACAATGACCAGATGCAGCTCGTTCTCACTCGCATTTCTCCTCTGGCTTTTGCAAGCTCAAAATCCGAAACCGATGAAGACATGCCAGCTAAGAACGACCTCAACAGTGTTGACGTTAGTTCCTCAGAGCTGTCTTCTGTAATGCTAAAGTGATATCGCCTGGGAAGTCTTTGTGTTTATTTTCCAGGTTTGAATGGCAAGTTTTGTTGTGTACCTTTCACTCTCTTAGGATTCCATCCTCCCGCTTTACTCAAGGGTTTATAATTGCCATTGCCACCTGGCAACCCTTCGTCGTCCATTGGGAAGAAGTGCTGAGGATGGATGTCTGGGGGGAAGGGAATGTTCTCACCCCTCTGCTGAGCACAAGTTACTCAGCAGTGCCAAAACACTAGTGTAGATATTACAAAAGAAGGGCCCCTTCACGTCCCCTCCTTCCCCTTCTCTCCTCCCTTCTCCTCTCCCAGGAGACCTGCTCACCTCGGTCATGTGACCCAGATAATCAGTAGAGGCAGCCACCCGAGCAAGCTTGTCAAAGGATCACAACCTCATAAAAAAAATCAGGTCTTTGAAAACCAAT